CAATGTCAGAGTAGGTTTGTTGAAATACTCATGTTCTATGAAGGAGAAATTCCCTCTGTAATACTGTCAACAGTCGTTGAATCTGAAGAATTAGAAACCCCGAAGGTCAAGGCTATTTGATGACTTTGAATATGAGGATAAGGTCCTAGAAGAAGCAGAAGTTTTCTAGACTAAGCAATGTGAAGAATTGGAGCTGTACAGAAACCTCAAACTTGATTACAAAAGTCCCACTGTATACCTTTCTGGTATTGAAGCATTCTTGTAGAAAGGAATGAAGAGGAAAATGTAGAAAGTATAATAGAAAAGGTGGAAAATACTCTTGATAATGAAGTTTTGATAAAGGATAAATATACCACCACCTACAAAATGCTGAGTAAAGAACAGGACATTTTCACTGAAAGTGTCAGTGACCTTGGGCAAATGTGGTATACATTTACAAAATTAATACTGATAGTGCCGCCCCCATCAAACAGGCCCATATCATGCTGCACCAAGTATATATAATTTTGTCAAAGAGGAAATTAAAAAATTAAAGGTGAAAGGGTTAGTCAAAGAAAGCACAAGACTGTAGCGTCTCACGTAGTTGTTGTTCTGAAAAAAGGTGAAAAGTTGCATCTGTGTATCAACTATAGGAAACTTAATTCAATTATGAAAAAGATGCATTCCCTCTTCTACGAATAGATGATCTGCTGGAAGATTTGGATCAGCAATGTGGTTTTTTACGTTAGACATTATGTCAGACTATTGGCAAGTTCATATAAATAATGCTGATAGGGAGAAAACCACCTTTGTTACGAATTTTGGCACCTATAAGTTCATAGTGATGCCATTCAGACTTTGTAATGCCCCCACCACATTTCAACAAATGATAAATGAAGTATTGGCCAAATTTTCAGAACAATTCATTGTCATGTACCTTGATGACATTATCATTTACTCCCTGTTATTTGAGAAGCATACTAACCACGTAATCACCATTGTTACTGAGCTAAGGAACGTAGGGTTAAAATTAACCCTGGATAAATGCTCCTTCTTCAAACTCTACCTGTAATTTTTAGATCATATTGTTAGTTAGGAAGATATACGTCCTGATGAAAGTATGGTGGAGAAAGTCTGGAATTATCTCATGCACCAGACTCTTCGTCACTGCAAGGTTTTCTGGGATTGGCTTCATATTATTGAAAGTTCATTTCAAAGTTTGTCACTATTATATGCCCCTACACTCATTATTAAAAAAGGACATTAAATATGAATAAAAGAAGGAACAGGACAATGCTTTTAAAAAGTTAAAACAATTCCTCGATAATATGCCAATTTTATGTTACCTGAATTTTAATAAGCCATTTATTATTCATGCTGATGCTTCAGGTTTCAGTTTAGGTACTGTCTGGCACAAAAAGATAATTAGGAGAATGAATACATCATTGCATACGTAAGCCATGAACTAACAAAAGCTGAATATAACTACACCACTACTGAGCATGAGTGCTTTGTTGTTTTGTAGATGATCGAGTATTTTCAACATTATGTCAGGTTGAAACTTTCATTATAGTAACTGACCATGCTGCTTTAAAGTAGCTTCAAACTTCTGAATTAACAGGTTGTGAGCTTAATGGGTGCTTAGGATACAGCCCTACAACTTTAAAATCATTTCCCACCATAGTAATCTACAGAAATGCAGATGCATTATCCTGAATCAGGAACCAACCAAGTGAATCTGATAGTAACATTACTAAAAAGAAAAATAATAAAAAAGAAAATCAGTTAGTAAAAGCCAATAATTAAAAAAAAAAATAAAAAATAAAAAAAAAAAAAAAACAAAACAAAAAAAAAAAAAGAGAATAAAAAAAAAAAACTTGCAAAACAAATTCAGCTCCAAAAGAAATCCAGTTCAGGTTACTGATATTCTAGCCTTTACAAACTATAAAAGAAAAGAAGAAAAAAAAAAAAAAAAAAAACTATATTAAATAAATATGGACCTATGCATTATAGACATTTGAAGCAGTACATTGAAAAGCAGCACCTATCTCTGACCAACAACCTCATCCAGCAGCAAAGAATTAGAAAAAGAGCGTATTTTATGAGTTAAAGGAAGGGTTCTTGCATAAAAAGGATTAAAAGGTTAAAGGAAGGTTACTCCAACTCCTACAGAAGTATGAGATCAACCCAATTTTGTTCCTAATGTGTACGCACCTTCTAGGAGGACATTTTAATAAGAATGTCATATTCGAGAAGATCTGTGATATATACTTCTGACTCCAGATATATGCTGATATACAAGGATACATACAAATGTATGACCAATGTCAGAGAAGAACCCAATCCTATGAACATGGTCTGTATACCTGATACCTGTGACTGCACTTTTCTACAAAATAGGAATCAACTTTGTTGGACCTTTGCTCTGTACCCCTAGAATGAACTAATACATCCTTGTCACCACTAGCTTTATGATCCGTTGGTAGAAGCACATGCTGTACAATGATCAGATTCACAAATAGCTGCCAAATTCCTTTATGATGATATAATTTGTTACCATGAATGTTTTGACAGAATCTTGTCAGACTGTGGAAGACATTTTAGGAATGAAATAATAAAGCATCTACTGGAAAAATTGGGAATTAATCAAAGTTTTTCTACCCTTACTATCTCTAGACGAATGGCTTGGTTGAATGTTTCAACAAGACACTCTGTGAAGCTATTGCCAAACTTGTAGAAAATGTCGTAGACTGGGATCTGCTAATCTCTTCGATGTTGTTCACCTATTATACTGCCTGAAATTGACCACTCAAATATCTCCATTCCTACTAATATATGATCAGGAAGCAAAGTTGCCTATTTACCCCAGTCAAGAAGAGGAACTGCTAAAGGGAACCATTCTTCAAAGAACTTTTGACCTAATACACACCGTACCCACCCTACTGGAAAAAGCCTTACAACAGGTTAGTCAGCAGCAAGAGAAACAAAAGACTCACTATGACAAGCACTATCAAATAAGTTCCAGATTCGAGATTGGAGATAAGGTTTTGCTTGAGAATGCTACTAAAAAAAACTCCTATAGTGATAAGTTTACTCCATAGTATAAAGGACCATTTTATATCCAAAACAAATTAATGAACGATGCATATAAACTCAGAACACTGGATGGTAAGTAATATTAATGCTGTACAACTTGCAAATGCAAAAAAATATCATAAAAGATAAAAAAAAAACCTTTTCTTATCTTTGGATTGTATATGGTTATGCATAACAGTTGTACGGGGGTAAGGAGCATATGATAAGGGTTTGATCCTTTGTTTTGGACATAAACGTGTTTTTGTGTATTGGAGTTTTTTTTTTGTATGTTTGAGTTTTTTGTTTTAAGCTTTTTGTTTTTAGTTTAGTTTTTATTTTATTCTAGTATTAGTATATAGAATTTTCATTAGTAGTTAAAAAAAAAAAAATTATTATCCGTATTACTGCGCTAAAGAAGCATATGATTAAATAACTCCCAAGACTAACACATTGAATTTTTCACAGAATGTGAAAAATTAAGGTGGGGAGAATTGTTACAGGTAAACCACATGCATCCAGAATCTAATAATAATGCAGAACTTTGCACATTAGACGCATGAAACCATTATGCAAACGCCATTGTATTGCATGCCTCAGGACCTAAAATTCTACTATGATGATCATATGCAAGAAACCTGCTCAAGCCAAGTCCTACATAATGAAGCATCAAAATGACGATCGTATGAAAGCCAAGCCCCATCAATGATCCCATTGAAGCAGAAGACACTTACCTGATTTGATATGACAGCTGTCAAGGTAATATTACCTTGTCAGGTAAGGTGTGTGGCCATAAATAATAAAAAGCATATGCATCGATGAGAGAGTCAATGAAATGAATGAGCAAATTGATGAGTAAAGAACGTTGACAGTGCAAAAGCCTTCATTCAACTTATTTTCTTTTTGCCTTCTTTTCTATCCTGTCAAACATCTCAATATAAATAGCTGTGAGAAAGGGGTTGGAATTAAATAAAAAAGGATTAGATGGGTGAGTTCAATGGCAAAGAGATAGAAAAAATGTTCAATCTTGATCTTTTCCTTGCCTTGTAAATTTGTTATAAATAGGAAGTAAAATTTCTCTTGTCAAAAAAAGAACTGCTCTAGTGTGTGTCCAATTTATTCTAAAAATCTTAAAATCGTTAATAAAAAGCCCAAATAAATCCAATACAAACATTTATTTAAAACTGCCCTAAATTACTTATCTAACGATTCTCAGTAGACGCCATTGACCTTGTTAAGTCAAAATCCGCCTCATTCCTCTACTGAGCATTATTATTAACCTTGTCACCTTTTGATATGCCAAATCATCATTTTACATAGCTCTTGTTGGAGGTGTAACTTAGGTCGATTCGCCTCTGACAGTACTTTTATTTATTACTCAAAATACACTTATTAATTAAGAGCAAAACTAATACTAATTCAAACTTCTTCTAACTACTATTACATTTGCTTTGCATACTTTTGGGTCATATTACTTACATCATAATTTATTCATATACGATCATATGATCGTTTGATTCTTATATTACCAATAAATTACCTCATATTTCATGTATACTACTTTGATTACATAATTGATCATTACTTGATCTCTTAATCCTGATCGATCATATACTTGTTATGTGCATCACGTGCACAAGACAATGATCATTCATTCATTTTACCTTCATTCTCATACAAGTTTATCGTATACTGTATATTACTATGACACATGCTAGAGCTCCAGAAACTTTGTCACCAAAGTTTCTAGTATAAACAGGACTTACTTTCCAATAATATCTGCAAAACTAATCCCCAAATTTGCATAATTTTCCACAAGTACTTCACCAAAACTTTTTCATGATTGAATATTCTTCTAATTCGGAGTTTAAGTAAGTGCTCATTTTCTCTATATTTTTTCTTTTTCTTTGAGCTTTTCACATTATTAATCATTTTACTAATCTTTGTCTTCACTTTATCATTTGCATATCATTCTCTACTTGAGTTATTACCACTTCCTCAACATCATTTTTCACTTTTGCCTCTTTCCCTTTTACTTTGTTATCCTCTAACTCATCCACTCTATTCCTTATATCCAACCTGTCCTTCTCATTCCTTTCGATTTTCACACCTGATTTGTAGACACAATCAAGATGTTCATCATGGCAAGATGCTTCATCACGAAATTTATATTCACAACAGTATGTGTATTTCCTTTTTTCATCATGTTTTTCTCTAACATTTCCTATTTCAATCCTAACAATTTTGCTCTACCATCATGAGCTTTATCCCCATTATTGTTATTTTTCATCCCACATTTCACCAGATCATCATTATCATCAATTACTAAATTATCATTTTCGATACTAATCTTTCCCACATCTTCATTAAGTCCAACTACGTCAATGCTGATTATCTCAAAGATATGTTGAATATTGAATTACCACTTACTATTATTTTTTCTCGATCAAATACTAATCTATAAACATCCTCCAATTTAGGTTCCCCAAATAATTCTCCACCTTCAACACACTTCAAATCTTCCTCAAGTATTTTGTTTTCGTCCTTATTGATAATATCGGCATTTTGGTAACAGATAAATGCTTTATTTTCATCCCTTATAATCTTATCTTCCTTATCATCAAAATGTCCTCTACTACTAACATTTTCCTTATCAGCAAATTTTTGACAATATTCCAATGCTTGAACTCCATCATTTCTGTTTTCTTCCTCATCAAGGCTTTCAGGTAAGTTCTCCACTTTCAATTCACTCATATCCGTTTTACCTTCTTCATCTAGATCAATATTCACTACATTAATCATCTTTGCCTCTACACTTTCTACCTTCTTTATAGAATCATCGCAATCCACATTGTCCCAGAACCATTCAAATAAACTCATCTTACAACTTGGTGCATCAGGCTTCAGATCGTCGTTGGATACTTTATTTTCATCCTTATCAACATCTTCTTCTTTCTCTGTACTATCATCCAAACACCACCATACTAAGTCCATTTCATAGGCTATTAATACAATTATTTAGAAATATTAATGGTAATCTGCCTAGGTTCTCATGTCGCGGGTTAATCTGTGACTTTTGTTACAAACAACCTAGTCCAAACGGTCAGCACTTAATCGCTTTGCTATGACCGATTTTCAGTTTATATTAAGGCAAGTACTTTTATTTATTACTCAAAATACACTTTATTAATTAAGGTTATAAATACCGTGAATATACGACATTTATAGACAAAACATGGAATATAAAACACGGATTAACTTTTTTATAGGGTAATAGTGATAAGGCCATTAAATTTGGCCCAGTAGATCATGAAAAATTTGTATTATACATTTTATGACTATAAAATCTTTTTTATAAAGAAAATTTTATAGTCATTAAATGTAAAAT